AATGAGGGGTGTGTGTCTGCTTCTCGGTCAGGGCCACGCCAGAGGGGTTGATTTTGCTTCTTGCTTGTGTGTGGCCCCCGACTGACTCTTCCGTGGGCCAGTGTCCCCGACCCAAAAAACATTCCCCACCCCGGCCCAAATCCCATCCAGCTGCCAAGAGTGTGCAGCTCGCTCGGTGGTCATGTGTGTCAGGTTTCCAAGTGCATTGTCCATCGTTGCCAAGTAGAGTTGTTTTCCTCCAGGGATCTCTGACAGGTAACCCTCTAGCCAGCCTTGGGGGGGATTTTGGGTGCCGTCCCCAGCTTGTGCCCTAGCACTCCTGCCGGGTGTCCGGAGCGGGTGGCTGACGTTTCCAGCTGCCAGCTAGGTTATTGTGTGACTCTAGCCTGCCAAGGCCTGTACAGTGCTGTGTCTCTCCCTCCGCAGCAGGATGCTTCCCCCCTGGAGCTCTTCAGTCTGAAATTCATCACCGAGCTGGTCGACCCGCCTGCAGGAGAGCAGCAAGGCATCTCCCCACTGGCTGTCCAAATTATTTCTCCCCCGTTTTTAGGGAGAATGGTACTCACCGCTGGACCAGCCCAGTTTGGAATGGACCTGACCAAGCAGGAGCATGGGGTGAGTGACTCTTTCACTGCTAGTAGCTGGCGAGTTTGGCTGGGTTGGGTCTGCAGGGGTGTCTAACCTTTCCTGGCTGTCCTTGCTGGGCCATAGAGCTGGCCAGCTGAACCTTGCTTCCTGAGCGGCTGTAAAGAAGTCACGGAGTAATTTTGCTTTGCCTGTTCACTATCGATGCAGCATGACGGGTCACCAAAGCCTTGTTTCTGCACCTGGATTGGACGAGCACTTAAAAAAAAAAAATCAGGAGAATAAAATTTCTGCTCTCAAGTTTGATCTGTTTTCAAACGAAGCCCCGTTCCTGCGAGGCGTGAAACCTGCAAGCTGCGACTGGAGATTGGGAATTGTCCTGGCTGGCTGTAACTGCTCTTTAAAGTCCACAGAGACTGCAGCATAGCCAGGCCCCGCGACCCAAAGAAGTTCTGGGAACTGGCAGGCTGGTATGGGGGAGGGGGCACGTACTGTGATATCCCCTGGGCTAGCTTCTAAGTGCCGGGGGTGTTACACCCCTTACTCAGCCGTTACCTGCCTCTTCAATGGGTAGATGCAGCCTCTGTAATGCGGAAGGGCTAATGTTGGGCTCCCACACCACAAGCGACTGGTGCACGCAAGCCATCGCCGAGCCTCAGGGTCCCTAGGGAATTTGAACAGGCCTTCCTGGTGCTCAACAGGCTTTGTTTACATGTGTCGGTGTTACCCTGCGCTGTGAGCCCCGGGGCCGGGCGGGCGCCGCACAAACACCCAGCCAAAAGACCAGCCTTGCTGTCGGGAGCGCACCTGCCTCTGTATCCTGGCAGGC